TCAGCAGGACCATAATAAAACATCGTGAGGGGCCAGGAGTGCAGGGAAAGGAGGGGATTGTTATCATAGAGCAGTGTTGGAAAAAATAAGCTAATAGCACAAAATCTGGGAAGCATTGGAAATCCAGCATAGCTGAATGCTGTTCCTTCTCAGATAGTTTAGGCTATCTTTTCACATCTCAGTGATAGAAAATAAAAGCTGCAAGTGTGGAGTAGCTGTCTCCTCGACCACTTTCTACTTGGAACAGCATTGAAACAGTTATTTCTTCAGGAGTGCACCCAGGACCCAGAAACATCCAGCTCAGGCAAACCATTTACATCAGATTTGATGAACAATGGAAATTTCTGCCAATTTATTTCATCCTGGAAAACAAGCTTTCATTTAAGTTGCCCAGAGGTAGTGTTCCCAGTGCTAGTCAAAATGTAGATAAAGCGATAGTCACAAAAATAACAGTCACGCTGGTGAACACCCCTTATGGAGAACGGGAACGACTCCAAGCCTTTTACTCATGTTTATGTTCTCGTCATTTTCAAATCCTGGGTCACTTTTCTGAAACAGCTAAAGTCAGGATTCCTCTGATTTCAGCCGGCCTCTGCCAGGCAGCTCTGACCCCTTACAGGAGAAACAGACCCTAGGGGGCAGCAGAAATCACGGGGGGTGGGGGTGGGGGGGATACATGGAATATTCCATTGCTTTCTGGACTCAGACTCAAGACTCAGAATGAATGTCCTACAAATACCCTGCACGGAGTTACTAACCTTGTTAATGAGCTTCCCCTCCAGCAAATGCATTGCCGGTGTCACAGGTGACAGCAGTAGAAGGAGCTTGCTTAGAGGACAGTCTATGTTAGTGGAGAAGAGACAGGAGAATAACATGAACACAAATATGAAGTAACCCACAAATATATTCTATTTGGATTTTGAACCTCTCATATTATTTTTGTTGCAAAAAATCTTGCTTTCCGAATTACCGGTCACTTGGGCTAATGTGGTCATTAATGTTGAGCATAAGCCCCTTAGGAAATGGTGGAGTCAACATGGGTATGGTAGATGCTGAGACTAGTGACTCATGTTAAAGGTCAATCCCAGCTCATCCAGAGACAACCTAGGGTTGCCCAGATGGCAAATACATAGGACAGGGGCTACCACCTAGAAAGGACATCCAGAGATATTTAACAAGTCCATATTCTTATTTCTAAATAAAACTGGACCTCTCCTGGACAAATGAACATCCTCCTTATTTTGAAGTTGCCTAGAAATCTATTGTAGCTTTATGGGCTTCAGCTGCCTAATACCTTTTAGTTTCTGGGATTGAGTCAAATTAACTAATTCATTTATTAATTAAAGAGCTCTATGTGATAGGACACTGTAGGGAATACAAGAAATAGAGGTCATGGTCCCTAAATTCAAGACCTTGCTGAGGTTGATTAACCACCACAACAAAGAAGCGTCTATGAGTATGAACTAATGAATGACCAGTCACCAAGTATTCTGAGGGTGTCAGGAAGAAGGGGAACTGCACAAACTATGTGGACCAGAGCATGCAGCAAAACTTTCTGGATTAATTAGGAAGCCTCAGACAGGCATGGAGAAGGAGGAATGCCATGCTGACAACAGGATTTGTGACAGGACAAAGAAAAAATTGCTTATTTATTAGATCTGTAGATCCTGAGGTGATGCAGTTGGATGGGAGGACCTGCTGGTAGGTCCATGAGAGAGTTAGATGTTAATGGCAAGGGGACAGCTCTGAATGCTTTTAAACATGAGTGGACATTAATAGGAGAAGGGAGGTTATTGGGAGATATGTTTATGTGTGCTGGTCATCATTCTACCTCTTCAGATAAAATTTCCCTATTGAAGCACAAAGCACTTAATTCGCCTGGCTGTACACACAGCTGTTATTAATCATCACCACCACCACCCCATCAACAGATTGCTTCCAATATGTCAGGCATATAGGAAATGCAGATGCTTTATTCACATTGCTTCCATTCCTCAACACCATCTTTCAATGTGGGTTTTATTGCCCCATTTCACCAGTGAGGACATTGAAGATCAGAAAGGCTGAGAATTTTTTTCAATATTACACACATTTATGGAGAATATGAATTCTGAAGTCATGATTCTCTCCTCATTAGATGGTGTTTTAGATCAGAATAAACAGGCTGGGATATCATCAAAAGAAAGATGTATATGATCACAGGAACCAGAGGTGACAAGGCAGTGCGTTTTGGTAGGAGTGACTATTAAATATCCATCCACAGAAATAGTACACAGATTATTTCACAGTCCACTTCTATCAATAAGTGTCAATTGTATCGGGACAGCTCCCAGAAGATTTGAAAACATTTTCTTGTTCTTCAAAAAGAAAGTTGTTGACATCTGTCTGGCATTCTTAGCGATTCATCCATGGCAGAAATTGAAATAGTATTAAGGAAAAGAAATTAGGATCCCAGGCACAGGAGTTAGCTATCAAGGGCAAATTACAATTTATCAAGATATGAATACCAGAAATAAAAATTGTATTGAAGAAGAAGGGCAACTGTGCTCCTTGGTTTTTACCAAAATGAGTTGAAAACTTATATCCACAAAAAAACCCTACACACAAATATTTACTGCAGCCTTATTCATAATTTCCAAATTTTGGAAGATGTCCTTCAATAGGTGAATGGATAAACAAAATGTGGTACATCCATACAATGGAATATCATTCAGGAATAAAACAAAATGAACCATCAAGCCACTAAAGACATGAGGGAATCATAAACGTATATCACTAAGTGAAAGAAGTCAATTTGAAAGGGTACATACTGTAGGAATTCAACTATATGACATTCCGGAAAAGGCAAAACTATGGAGATGATCAAAATATCAGTGATTGCCAGGGTTTGGGATGGAGGAGAGATGAATAGGGGGAGCACAAAGGATTTTTAGGGCAGTGAAACTATTCTGTATGATCTGATAATGATGGATACAGGCCATTATACATTTATCACAACCCACAGAATGTACAACAACAGGAGTGAACCCTAATGTAAACTATGGACTTTAGTTGATAATAATGCATCAATATTGGCTCATCTATGATAGCAAATGGACCACATTAATGCAAGGTATTAATAGTAAGGGAAACTGGAGGGAGGGGGAGGGAAGGCAATATATGGGAATTCTCTGTACTCTGCACAATTTTTTTTTGTAAACCTAAACCTGCTTTTAAGAAAAAGTTATTTTTTTTTAAAAAAAAAGAATACTATGCTTAATGCACAGATTAAGTAATACCATGCTTCTAATGAAAGAAATCAGATTTTTAAAAGTACTTGGTATAAAAGAAGGAAAAGAGAAGTCCTACCCATGCTCCATCTTTCAGCTAAGTCCACCCCAATCACCTAGAAAGGTTCCTCTGACCAAGAGGAAGAAACAAGCCTTCAGAAACTGGGTATTTATTTTTAAAAGAGCATAATAATCCATAATATATAATTCCTAATTCTGTGAAGCAGCAACAAAATTTAAATTTAAAAAAAAAAAAAAAAAAGCTCGTTTTAGACTGCAATCCCAGCATGCCTATTGGTTTGCAACCTCAGGAGTTCCCTGGGTGAAAATCGAAACTGGCCTCTGAACACAGAGGGCAGAAGAGAACAAAGAAAGAGGCAGACCACTCCTGATTGGTAGGTGGCAGGTTTAATAAGTAAGGGAACTTATTTACAAGGCTTGACTTGGGCACCCACAAAATGAGTAAATCTTCATGCTAACCCCCTAAAATCTTAAAATTTTCTGTAGAGGCCTTAACTGAGTTCAGTCATGTATTCCATGTGATCTCAACAACACATTGTTCTCTCAAGGCCGAGCCCTTGAAACGGCTGCGGCTCTGAGAACGGTGGGCAGAACATACATTCCAAGGGCAGGGGAGGGGAGGGG